ATCTCTTGATTAGTTTATATTTCACATAAAATGAACACAGAGGTGAGATGGAGAGACTGGGTTTAAAATGCACCAAATAGGCCGGGGATTTAGTTCAGTGGTTTCGCCGCCTGCCGCGCAAGCACAAGGACCCGAGTTCGATCCCCGGTACCAAAAAAAAAAATAAATAAATAAATAAATAAATAAATAAATAAAATTTGATACTTGGTCCAGGGATTTCGCTCAGTGGTTCTGCCACCTGCTCCACAAGCGCAAGGACCCAAATTCAATCCCCAGCACACACAAAAAAAACAAACTGATACTTGAGGCTGGGAATATAGCCAAGTGGCAGAGCACTTGCCTAGCATACATGAGTCTGGGTCTAGTCAGTGGCTCTTAAAAAAAACTGACACATCAAACAAGCCACTGTCTTATCCAATCTTTAAAGCTGAGGTCTTGATAATTCATATCAAATTCTGGGTAAGATCTATGGGGGTAGGGACTCCAGTTACTACAAAGAAGTCACATCTAAATATAATTCTCTACTACTTTGTTGGGACACAAAAGACATCCTCTTACACCTTCTTCTCTGCAATAAACGCTAACAATGAGAACTCAGTTGACCTTTGTCCCTTTTGACATTTTTCAAAGAGTCTCCCAGGCTGCATCTCCCAGGACCAGGTGCTGAGCTACCCTCAATAGGGTCTCCAGATCTTACTGTCTCGTCCAACAATTATTTGTGTGTGTCTCTCAGTCTTTGCAGCTGCACTCAGAAGACTCCTTTTGTGGACCACCAGGAATTTCCTGTGATAGAATAACAGAAAGCTACTGGTGACTCGGAGGAGGTGACTTCACAGGGCAAAAGTTCCCTTTCTACAATAAACATTCTCCATGTGGCCATGTAGGAGACTTCCTACTCAGACCCCACACCTACAAGCCACTTGTCATCTTGACACCAAATAGCCAGGGAAAGAAATAGAACTATTTGTAAGAGATTATCTTTTTTAAAAGTGAACTTCCCCATGGCTTCTGAATATGTTAACATCATCCTGAAAACCAAAGAAGAAAAAACTTACCTAAAAAGAATTTTAAGAGAACACACAAGTTTTATAACACAAACAGACAAACCAATTTGCATTTTTCCCCCAGTGGTGCTAGGGATCAAACTCAAGGCCTTGAGCATACTAGGCAAAGTTCTAACTCTAAGCTACACCTCCAGCCCACCAACTTGCATTTCTTTGAGGGCTTTTTGTTTTGTTTTGTGTTTGGTGTTTGTTTGTTTTCTTCAGTTGGTTTTTTGTGTGTGTTGGTTTTTTGTTTTGTTTTGTTTTGTTTTGGTACCGGGGTTTGAATTCAGGACCTTCTGCTTGCTAGCTCTGTTCTGTTCTTTAAGACAGGGTCTCATTCTGTAATTCAGGCTTGCCTTACAGAGCCCGAGGCTGGCCTCAAACTCATGGTAATCTCCTACCTCAGCCTAGCAAGTGCTGGGATTACAGGCCTGCACCACCACACTTGGTCCAGTTTGTTTTTCTGAGAGATAGGGCCATCGAATGACAAGTAGCAACACAGACATGGGACTTTGTGTGCAATGACTATTTTCATACGGGGCTAGATTAACCTACAATTCTAAAGGCTTCCAAGAATGAGGAATGAGCTTCCGCACCTCTACCCTGATTTCAACTTGTTTCTGCATGAACTGGGATCACAGGCAGGATTTGTAGCAACATGCTCACACTTACAGTAGTTCTGGGTAAAATACAGTTGGTCTTTTATGTCACTTCCACCAGCTCCATCCATCCAGCAGTGGCTCCTTCTAGACCACAGGTATGGGTGACCCTGCCCTCACTCATTTGGGGCATGGCACTCCATCTACCTAGTAGAAACAAAAAGAAAAACAGTGAGCACCAGATTCCCTCCTCTCCAAATCACATCAGAGGTGTCTTCGTTTTGAGTCCCTCCATTTGGCAACCCACCCAGGCAGAACTGTTGCTGGGAAAAGCACAAAGTCCAGGCCAGAAGGCTGAGGGCCAGGGTGAAGAGGGACTCCAGGGACTCACTCCATAGGAGTGCCAGCTGCTCTCGGGGGCAGATGTCTCTTCTTCCCACTTAGCTGCAGGTGCCCCTCTCCCGGGCGGCTGCCCCATTTTCTCTCATTCACTGTTTCTTCTTCCCTAGAATGTGTAGGTTCAACCTTGACTTTCACCCATGGCTTAGCTTCTTCCCAGGCAGTCAACAGTCCTGGCTGAACCCCTGCAAACTGACATTTACACATGCATGCAAATGGCATCTCTATCTTCTCTATGCGATACTCAGGAAGGGCATATATCATGGGACCCAGATAGGACCAGGAACCGGACGCAGAGTAATATGGGGGTCATGGCACTGATGGCCCCTTCCTGGCTATCATGGAGGACAAGGTACATGGTTTCACTAGATCCCAGGCTGAAAATATCATTTGTAAAATAACAGAGGATCTCAGGCTGGAAATATCAGGCTCATGGTTACTTAGTGCTAGACATAACACAGATTCCCTCCCTTGTGGACTTGGAATAATGGGGAGGGTAGGTAGTAAACAAATATTTTAAATAGTAAACCTACAAGTGTCTTGATTATTGCAGAGGAAAACTCAAAGTGCTCCTCCAAAAGCAAATGACACCATCTGGGTATTATGATGGCAGAAACTCCCAACTGCCCAGTAGACCTGCTTGCTTAAGGAAATACCATGGATGCACCTGTGGAGGAAATGTACCCAAAATGTGCCAGTGAGTGTCAATGGGAATCTGGAAGTCCCAATGGTTTCACCATGACTACAGCTTGAGAAAAAACAGATAAAAGCAAAGGTGCCCATTTAGGACCCCAGTTTTTCCTGCCCAGGCCCACAGAGCTCATTCCTTCTCCCCATAGTGAAGGCTCTGTGTGGGCACAGTTACTTTCTGGTGAAATCAGAGGGTACCTCTTGCTGTCATCATGTAATACCTGGTGTCTGCAGCAGCAGCAGAATCTGACCCTGGCCAATTGAAACAGGAAAGTATGACTATCTCAGATGGCTGAGGAACTAAACTCAGAAAACAGGAAAGAATAGAGTCAGGCTACGTGGGGGAAGCCCAGCCAACACTACAGTGTGGAACCAGAATGAGAAGGACAATGAGCACATGCCATAGTCCTTCACAGCATTGGCAGCCCATTTTTTTTGTTGTTTTTTTTTTTAATTCTTTTATTGGTACATTTTAGGTATACAATACGTTTACGTTTATCATTGGGTGTCTGTACCTGTACATGATGAATCTTGGTTCTTATTTTTTCCCCCATTACCTATGCGCCCTTCACCCCCTCCACCCTTCCCTATTTACATAGATTTCGTTTCCATTTTTTTTCTTTTCTCATAATTTTTCCTTTCCCTTCTTTCCTTTCCCCTTCCCCTCCCTTCACCCCTACCTCTTTGGACCTTTTTTCCTATTTCAAATTATCAATTATTCATTTTAATCATTTTAACCCTTATTTACACTTTCAGTTTCTCACACTAGAGAAACTATTCGGTATTTACACATGTGTGTCCTATTTATTTCACTTAAGAGTGTGGCCTCAATGTGCATCCATTTAGCTATAAATGACTCTAGTTTCTCATTCTTTATGGCTGAGTAATGCTCCATTTTATTAAAAAAACCACATCTTCTTTATCCAGTTTCCAGTTGATGGGCAGTTGGGCTGCTTCCAAGTTTTAGCTATTACAAACTGTGCCTCTATAAACATGGGTGCACATATATCACTGTGGTATGATTCTTTTAGGAAGATCCCCAGCAGGGGAATAGCTGGGTTAAATGGGACTTCCAGTCCTAGTTCTTTGAGGTATCTCCACACTGATTTCCACAGTGGTTGCACCAGTCTGCTCTCCCACCAACAGTGGAGAAGGGTTCCTTTCTCTTCACACCCCGCCAGCCTTTGTTATTGGTTGATTTCTTGATAGCAGCCATTCTTTGTGGAGTGAGGTGGAATCTCAGTGTTGTTTTCATCTGCATCTCTCGAATGACCAATGATGTTGAACATTTTTTCATATATTTATTTGGGCAGCCCATTTTTTTCACATCTTAGCTCTCTCTCCTATTGGCTGTACAATCTTAACTTTTCTGTCTCAGTTTCTGTAAAACCTACCTTTAAAATGCCACATTTCAACAGGTGTAAACATTGTCAAATAAGATGTACTGATTTCTATGACACACTAAGTGGGGGAAACAAACTAAACCAATTAAAACTATGACAACTAATGACAGTGCTTTTCCATCACTTAAAATTTTTGTTTTATGTTTCATTTAAAATTCTTATTAGACATTACTTAGATATTTTTTATCATGTCACCCTTATACAGACAAAGGAAATACAAGTTATGTGTTTCATATCTCAAATGCTTGAGACCAAAAGTCTTAGAATTAGGATTTTTTTTCAGATTTGGGGATATTTGTATATACTTAATGAGAAATCTTGAGAATAGAACCCAAATTTAAACACATATACACCTTAAACATATAAACTGAAGGCAATTTTATACATTAGTTTTAATGATATCATGTATGAAACAACATTTTGTTTTGTGGAATTTTTCATTGTCGGCATTATATCAGCACTCAAAAAGTTTCACATTTTGGATCATTTCAGATTTTGGATATTTGGAAGAGGGATGCTAAAGTATATAACAAAAGTATGTTTAGTCTTGAAGTCTCAGCTGCTAAAGAAGCTGAGGCAGACAAATGGCTTGAGTGTAGGACTTTAAGGCCAGCAGGACAACATAGCACGACCTTGAATCAAACAAAAAACAAGAAAAAGAAAGTGAATTAGGGTATTTCTAAATCTTTTTCGGTGCAGACCCCAACTTTCCTGAATTGCTCATTGACCGACCACTGTTGGCCCTGTGCTCCTGGTGACGTGGCTCTCTGGGCCCCCTGGCCTCAGGCAGCATCTCCTCAGTGGTTCGCCACCGTTTTCTCCTGGCCTTCTCTCAAGTCTGGGTCACTCATCTCCAGGTCTGGTGCTGCCGCTTTCTTGACCTCACCTAAAATGTCAAGAAGCTTGAAGAAGACAGCTATTGCCCTTTCCAAATGATCCTTGTGAGGTTTGTTGCCAGAAGCAGCAAGGACCTGTGAGTATCCTTTTGCGCAGCAGGAAGACACCTGAGTGCACGTCACTGATGGGGATGGGAGGACAGGGGCTCCTCTGGTCACTTGGCTCCGTGACAAGGTGCTGCACGGGAAAGATGGAGTCTGGGACCTGAGGAGCTGCAGGAGTTCCCATCGACCCCCAGAACACTGCGGAGGGCTCATCGAGATCATTTTCATAAAGGTTTTAGACCTGAGTGTATGCGCTCACTAAATGTCAGTTATTTGTTTACAAGTGACTTATAAAGTTAAGCTTCTGGTGTTTAGTTTTGCAGGGCCGAAGACAAGCTAAAATGAATCAGACTCTACTGCCATTTACACGCTCTCAAAAGTAATTTGCTATTTGGGAAGGCTGAGAGTGAGAAGGGAAGCAAGCAAAACGGCCGTTCTTTGGTTCCACCAGATGGTTGTGAGGTCTTCTGTCCTCTTGGCGACAATGAAATGGTCATAACCACAGAACTGGCATTCAGACCAGTTCGAAGTCAACACATAAGGGAAGCATTTCCTATGGTTCAGTGCCAGTGTAAATAGCCTTTTTTCCCCCCATTTTTTCTACCTCTAACAATTTCAAACTTGTCTCAGTTAGTATGTCGTGTGCTTAGGAACCAAACACAGCCCTCTTTTCTTTTGTGTTGTGCTGGGATTTGGAACACTGAGTCCTATTTTTGACCTTGACACCTACTACACCTTTTTTGCTCTGTGAAAGCGGATTGTGAGATGGAAAAGGGTTGCCTGAAATAGAGGGTGGGAACAAAGAACAGGACACTCTCGCCCACATCCCCCTGCGTGAATCATCAGAAAACACCAGAAGGCAGTGCAGCTTGGCTGACTGCTAGTGTTTGCCCGACTGAAAAACCCTTTATTTTACAAGCTTTACTAAATACTGAAGACATTTTAATCCTTAAGTACCATTAGCTCTCTTACCTTGTATCTGCTTCTGGTGCAATTTCTTTTCTTTGTACCAAGAATCGAAGTCAGGGCCTCACCTTGCCCTCTGTGCCACGGAGCTACATCCTGGCCCCAATTTGATATTTTTAAGGTAAATATCTGAGAATTATTTTGAAATATGAACAGAGATTAAGTTCTGAGCTCTCTCTGGGTTTATCTATAAAATGTGAATAAAAGCTAGGTGTGGTGGCACAGACCTGTGTTAGGCAGAGGCAGGAGGATCACCACAAGTTCAAGGCCAGCCTGGGCTACATAGTGAGTTTAAGGCTGGTCTGAACTACCTGACAAGACTCTGTCTCAAAAAGCCAAAAATAGGGCTGGGGATGTAGCTCAGTGGTTCCGCTGCCTGCATTGCAAGCGCAAGGTCCCGAGTTCGATCCCCGGTACCAATAAATACATAAAGAAAGTGAATACATGGCGCAGACCCAGGTGGCATGTGTGTAGGCAAGCAGGAGTAGCTAGAGGCACTTGCCTTCCTTTCCCTCACCCACACATTTGCGGACCACTCTGTCAGGACCCCAGTGTTAGACCATACCTAGCTTAGAACATGGCTTCGGTCAAAGATAGGAAGATTTTAACATTTTGATAAATACTATCAAGCAGCACCTAAACGCCGTGCCAAAATCTGGATCCTGAGATTCACCAGATGGGTGTCACACATTCTCATCCGAGGTGGATTCCTTAAAGAGGTTATGCTATCTTTCTTGGTGAAGTTGTGCCCATTTCTGGGGCCTATCAACGCCTTTGTATTTCTCATTTTTCTACCAGAGTATTTTATCTCTCACCACCCTTTGTATCTTATAGCCAAAACCTGAGATGAGTATCCCTGAAGACTGACCACAGGCCAGAGGCTGAGCCGCTGGGGCAAGAGAAGCAAGTGCATTAGGCCCAAGGTGAGCTGGGTCTCTCTCTCCCAGCAGCTTGCTCCTAAAACCTGGATGGGGAAAGACAAAAGGGCTCCAGGAAGCTAGTACTGTGGCTCTCCATGACAAAATCCTACAGCTCGCCACTATGTCACTGAGAGAAGCCGGGGGAGCCAGGCCTGTGACATTTGCCTGGCAGCCCAGGAGCACAGTGAGCAGCTGTTGTAATTAGCTTCATCTTGGGGTTCCCTGTAGCTGTAAGCCTGCTGTCCCAATTTATATGTCGCTTTGTTTATTCTAAAGGAAAGAGGCAGGAAGTTCATTTTTATCAGTGACCTTGCCTAGATGTCTTTGATGATGTTTAATAGGTTTAAGGGTCAACTTAGTTTATTTATGTCATTATAAAATGACGCCATCCTTGTTGTTAATTTTTTTTTTACATTTCTTTAATGAGCGTACTTCCTGAAATAAATCACACATACACAAACACACACATTGGCAGTTTAAAGCAAACGTTTTTCAACTTAATGTGTTCATTTTTACTGTAGCTTCATCCCAAACCATACTACAAACAATGTAAAATTATGTTTAAATATTAACTTGCACGTTTAGAGCAGTAATTTTTTAGCCTTTCTAAAATGTTTCAGACTTTTTAAAGTTCTAGTTCATTAGCGTGTGCGTGTCGTACGCAGCGCGGACACTCTGTGTGGGAAGTCAGTACGCATGCGGAACACATCTCAGTCCCTCCCTCACCCCCATCCCTTGCCTCCCTCGCGCCTCCACTCACCTCTTGATCCCTCTTCCTTCCTGTCTCCTGCACACGTTTGCAGTACCTACTGCTCACACCCCTTGTGGGGATCAATAGGAGTCCGAGTCCCTGACGCATCTCGATTCCCTGTTTTCAGCCCCTCTCCCCTCCCTCTCTCGCCTCTCTCCATCCCTTGACACCCTTTCCCTTTCAGAACAATCTATCTCGCTACTTCCTATTATCTGTCGTTCATTTTGCTCCTTATTTTTACTCTGCGTTTTTCATATCAGAGAAACAATGTGAAATTTAAGCTTGTGCGTCTAATTTATTTCACTTAGCATTATGGTATCCATCAAGCTGCATCCATTTTTCTAAAAGTGCTTCAAGTTTACTGTTTTAGGGGGGAGTACCGGGGATCGAACTCGGGTCCTTGCGCTTGCGCAGCAGGCGACGAAACCACTGAGCTAAATCCTGGGCCCAAGTTTACTTTTCTTTATAGCACAGTATCACTCTATTTTGTGTAAATATCACACTTTTCTTTATCAATTTATTTGTTGCTGCACATATGGGCCTCTTCCAAGATTTATGAATTATGAATTGTGCTGCTATAAACATGGGTATTTGTGTATCACTATAACATGATGCCTTTAACGCTTTGGGGAAGATACCTAGAGGAAGAATATATGGGTCAAATGGAATTTCTTGTTTTAGTTTTTGTT